TAATGTAGTGAAGTATAGTGGAAGGTAGTGTAGTGTACTAGTGTAGTGTACTAGTGTAGTGTAAAGTAGTGTAGTGGAGTGTAGTGTAGTGTCATGCACTGTAGCGTAGTGTAATTTAGTGCAGTGGAGTGTGGTGGAATGTAGTTGGGTAGTTGTAGTGTAGTGTAGTGTAGTGGGATGTAGTGTAGTGGAGTGTAGTGGAGTGTAGTGAAGTGTAGTTGTGTAGGTGTAGTTGTAGTGTTGTGGAGTGTCGTGTAGTGTAATGTAGTGAAGTGTAGTGGGAGTAGTGTAGTGTAATGTAGTGTAGTGTAGTGGAGTGTAGTGTAATGTAATGTAATGTAGTGTAATTGAGTGCAATTGAGTGCAGTGTAGTGTAGTGTAGTGGAGTGTAGTTGTGCAGTTGCAGTTGTAATTGTAGTGTAGTGGAGTGTAGTGTAGTGTAATGTAGTGAAGTGTAATGGAAGGTAGTGTAATGTAGTGCAGTGGTGTCTATCTGCGTGCCTGCCTGTCTGTCTATCTATCGATCTATCTATCTATCTATCGACCTGTCTATCTATCTCTCTCTCTCTCTATCTATCTCTCCATCTATCTATCTATTGTAGTTGTAGTTGTAGTTGAAGTTGTTGTTGTTGTTGTTGTTGTTGTTGTTGCTGTTGTCGTCGAAGTTAGGGTAGTTAAGTTAGTGAAGTTACTTAAGTTAGTCAAGTTGGTTAAGTTAATCAGTGTCTACTTTTTCGACATCAGCACGTCAAAAAAGGCTCAAAACCCTCAGTTTTTTACACTTTTGACTTCCAAATGTGCTTCGCGCCACAACGGCGTGCACTTTTTCGACACTTTTTCGACATCTGAACCTCCAAAAGTGGTCCGAGCATGGTGTGTTTTGTACATTTTGACTTGGAAATGTGCTTCGCGCCACAACGGCGTGCACTTTTTCGACATCTCAACGTCCAAAAGTGGTCCGAACCTGGTGTGTTTTGTACATTTTGACTTGGAAATGTGCTTCGCGCCACAACGGCGTGCACTTTTTCGACATCACAACTTCCAAAAGTGGTCCGAACCCCTGGTGTTTTGCACATTTTGACTTGGAAATGTGCTTCGCGCCACAACGGCGTGCACTTTTTCGACATCACAACTTCCAAAGGTGGTCCGAGAATGGTGTGTTTTGTACATTCTGACTTCAAAATGTGCTTCGCGCCACAACGGCGTGCACTTTTTGACATCGCAACTTCCAAAAGTGGTCCGAGAATGCTGTGTTTTGTACATTTTGACGTCAAAATGTGCTTCGCACCACAACGGCGTGCAATTTTTCATCTCTTGCTGGCCAGCTGGCTCCGCACCCGCCGCTTTAGCGAGCCTACTTTTCGACCCTCCGGAGCCACAAATCATTGGAAAAACACGGTGTTTCGCGACTTTCCTACCTTTTCGCGCATCTGCATCTTCTGTCTTCTTACTCTTTCTCTTCTGATCTTCTCTCTTCTAGTCTTCCTCTTCTCTCTGCCTCTGCCCTGCTCTGCTTTTCATCTCTCCATATTGTCGGAAGTTTGACTTCTAAACTTCCTTCGACCAGTTCGTATATTTAAATGTAGTTGCAGTATGTTTAAATGAATTGGATTCCGTATGTTTAAATGGCTGGGCGGGCCAAGGAAACCCTTCCCGGAGGTAGTCTAAAATACCTGTTCGTATATTTAAAAATCTGTATATTTAAATGTAGTTACCGTATATGTAATATCAGACAAAGCCATCTCAACCAACTGGATGGGTAGTTGCGCTGGACAACTGGAAGCACTGCATTCCAAAATGGTCAGGAGCATGGACGTTGCGAGGATTTCATAATCCGTTCTATTGGAGAAACAGGTAGTTTAAACCTTTTATCTTTTTGGTATACATAGGAATATCTACCAACTAGCTAACATTTTTTTTTTTGCATGGTATCTAAGATCGCACTACTATTTCAAGGGGATTTACCCTGACTAACATAGGACTGAGGTCTGTATAATTTCAAACACGACCAGAAAGAACATTGCTGATTGATGATTGGGCTTACACATGTAGGTGAGGCAGCCTCAAAATCAACATTTCAATGTGTCAAGAAACAAGTCACGAGAGAAAGGCGATCATGAGTCAAAATAACAAGTCCAGGGCAATTTTTCCAATCATTTTCATGATGAAGTCGCCACTTTTTTTGTTGAATCCTTTCGACAGGACTGTTGGAATGGCGAGAAAACTTAAGTGTTTTTCAGTGACCATTCTGGAAAATATGATTGATGTTCAAGTCACTTAAAGTGTTTATTCTTCTTGTTTGCATCCAATCTTTATCTTACGATATTTTACTCATATTTTATTCCGGCATTTCTTTGATTGGTGCTCTCCAAAAAAAATGGGTGGGGTGCATCGCCCGCTGAACATGGTGTTGGATATTTGTTGAAACCCACCAAGCCGGATAGCATCGGATAGCTTGGAAGGTGGAGCACCGTAGATAGCTAACTTGGGGGCCACATAGCTCCAATTTAGGGTTCATGGCACTTGTAACTAGTTGATTGGGTGTGTAGTTATAAACCAAACATCACTTTTTTGTCCCCACCTTGTACCAAGCATCAATCACAATCAGTCCCTGTCTGATGGCCACAGATGTGGAAATTGATCGTTTTGTATAGGAAAACTCCACCATCCAAACGTACCTGGGGCCAGGGAACAACCCTGTCTACACCGAATTTTTGTTGTTTTTCGCTGGTTGATGCCTTCGTTTTGAAAAACCCTGGGAACTTCTGGTCAAAATTTTCCAGCAATCTTCGCAGGCGGCGAAAGATCGGCTTTGCACTCTCTTCGCTGGGCATTTTCAAGCTGAGCGAATCTCTTTACAGGCTGGACGCTAGGAATCAAACGACCACAATGGGCATTGAAACAACCATGTTCTTTGGACATTTTGGGGAGACAGTGCAATGTGATACAGTATATATAATATAAATATAACAATGATTCGATTGGTCTATAAAATCCGTCCCACTAGAGATAAACGTCAGTCATATATCCTACTACAGATATAAAGTCCAACATAATTTTGTCATAAATCAACTATAAATCCCCTATGGATGATTAGTAATTCATACTATAAATCACTATTTTGACTATTGTTTGTAAACGTTTGTAATCATCTAGTGTCAAAATAGTCATTTATAGTATGATTAAATCAATGATTGATGATTAAACATTAGATGATTCATACTGATTTATGACACATTCAATGCTGTCTTTTTGGTGCCTATCCACATGGGCCCCACTTGTCACATGGAATGATCGATACTCGTATCGATGAGATCACGACAGGATCCGCTGAAAAAAAGAGGTTACAATTGACTGATATTCAATGGATTGGTTTAAGGGAAAATCTAAAGGGAAAATCTAAATCCTGGATTTTCCGATGAACTATTTATCAGATTGATCATATATCTCAATTGATTGGTTAGAAGGTAAATGAGGGTATCACCCATCTGGATTTCAATTGGATTTCAACTATATTCAATTGGATTTATCTAATATATATATATATATCCAAATCAATATATAATCAATATAGTTGAGATCCAATTTATCTAATATTTCAACTATATATCATATATTTTATCTAAATTTTCCCTTAAACCAATCAATTGAGATATATTAGATCTGTTGGAGATCAGATGATACCCTCTAGCAATCAAAGGTGGCTGGAAAAACCCTCAGAAATGGAGGTTTTTCTCGGGAAAATCATGGAACTAAGGAGTTTAAGGAGTTGGGAGTTTCGAGGGAGCCACTTGTCCTACAAGTATTTCCACTTGTTGATCCACTGGGTCAAGTAACCAAGGATTGATACGCTAGGCCTAGTTGGCCTAGTTCTGGATGATCCTCGCTCCCGGGTTTGCCTGGGTACAATTTTTCATAGAAAGACAGTAGTAACCCAACCATTTCAATACTGCAATCATGTGGTAAACCCAATAGAAAACACCAAACTCACCATAAATGGGCGGCATAAACCATCCCCAAATGGTAGGTTGAAACCACTAGGTCAGTCCACACTAATTATCAACAACTGGTACTAAACTTCTGCAGTTTGTTTTTGGGGAATTGTTATATAGATACTATATATCATATATTGTATATTATATATATCATATATTGTATATTATATAATATGTATATCATATATTGTATATTATATATTATATATTATATATTATATATTATATATTATATATATTATATTATATATTATATATTTTATATTTTATATTATATATTAAATATTATATATTATTTTGTATGTATATATATTTTTATATGTGCATATTATATATTGTATGTTAGCTTTTACATATTATATATTATATATCATTTTTGAATACATATATATATATTATAATATATTATACCTTTTAATTTATGTTTATATATATATATTATTTTGTAGTATATTATTTTGTAGTATATTATATATATTATATTATATATATGATATTATATATATATATATGAAAATTATTTATTATGTAATATATATATATATTATTTTTTTAAAAAAAAGAAATATATGCATTATATTTTATATTTTATATATTATACACAACAAATAAATATATATTGATTATATATAATGTATTATATTATATTATATTATATTATATTATATTATATCTAGGATGTGAGTCCAGATGGGGTTTAGACGGTTCAGACCAAATGAAGGATTTTTTTAAGCAATTTTGCTATTATGATACAGTTCATGTTCCAAGTGCCTGTTTGTTTTGGCTCGAGTGTTGACTTTGACCCTCCTCCTCGGAGGGTTTCGTTGGAACATCACCTGTCACGGTATGGCTCAAACATGTTGAAAAATTGTTTGAACAACACATTCGGCAATGGAAGATCTTTGGATTTCATATACGTATATATATATATATATTATTCATATATATATATATATGATTATCTATTCATATTTGTCCCAATTCCACCCGTTTGAGCCATACCCACGCATTCCAAAACCCGCTCCATGCAGTGGTCACTAAGATGCTCCGTGCTGCTCCTGAGAAATCTGTGCGCTGCCGCTGATGGCTGCTGGGCGGAGTGTGGCCGAAGCGGTTACTACTGTCCCGAATTTTGCTGTCAGCCCACTGATGGCGGAAATCCTTCATGCTGGGATGAGGCTGGGATCTATACCTTCTCCAAATGTCACTGGGTTTAGTGATGTCACTTGCTATAGCAACCCTCAAAAAGATAGAAAAACATAGTTGCCACTATTTTAGTGGGAAATTACATTTCTATCTTTTTGGGGTTACTATAAAATCATATTTTTAGATAATGGTTCGCTCTGTAGGTTTGTTATGTTTTGTTTGGAGATGTGATTTCCATTCCCCTCCAAGAAAAATGCGATGATTTGTTTCGAGATAGGTATACTCTTGGATGTTGAGGGTGTAACCACTTTCCATTTTGGTTTCATAATTATCCCCTATGACATTCAATCGATACCCACCATCATGTTCACTGGTTGAATGCCAGCTTCAATGAGTTGATTTCATAGGTGATAACGTAGTTACCATAAGGTGTCCCCAACAGTTCTCAGTTGGTTTATGAACACCATGAAAATTGCCATAAACCTCAGTGAAATCAAAGATTATGTGGTCCCCAATGGCTGGCCATTTAAAGCAAAGGGCCTCAAATCTCCCCTCAATTTCTGCAGAAACCAATGCTTTGGGGGTTCAAATTTCCTCCAAATTGTCATTGAGATCAGAGATTACAATGGTTTGTGTATATATATATACCCTCTGGTTTATACCCTTGAATCTATCTTTTTAGAGATTACAATGGTTTGGGGGTTTTATCATTGAGATCTCAGGTTGCACTCAAGTGACCTTCGGTCCAGATGTGGATCTGTACTTCCAGCTTGGCCAAGTGCTGCTGCCCTTGTATCGAGGGCCCTCGGAGCACAATTCGCCCAAGGTCAACGAAAGGACCGGGCTGTTATAAGTCACTCTGTGCAGAGGTTGAATCTTTTTTGGACAAGAAACTATGCGCATAGTATGTGTAATGTTGTGTCAAAGAAGGGGATAGTTTTTCAGAAGATGATAATGATAATGCTATCAAATATCTATATATTGTCATGCTTCATGGGTTGCATTATAATATATTATAATCATCCATAGAATTCGCGGGTGGATTATTGATTAATTAAAAGCAGCCAACAGCAGGGATTTCAGAGACATACATGAGGACTTAAGCAGCGAAAATCATCCACATGGAGTCAGTACATCTATCCATACTGATTGGTGGTTTCAAACATGGCTTTTATTTTCCGCTTCATATATGGGATGTCATCCATCCCAACTGACGAACTCATATCTTTAAAGATGGTTTTTGCACCACCAACCAGATATAATTATACCATATTATACCATAGTTATACCATAGTTATTGAACATCGCCATCTTTAATGGGTAAATCCACTATAAATGGCAATTTTTAATGGGTATATCTGGATGATTTTTGTTGGCGACCTCACTGGGACGTCACACGTCGGAATTTTCTGGTTAGTTTTTGTTGCGGGAGAAGCATCCCCAAAACAGCTTTGTTTCAACTATTTTCAGGGGGAATACCCTCTGGTAAACATACAAAAAGCTATTGAACATGGTGATTTATAGTGGATTTACCCATTAAAAATGGTGATTTTTCCATATTTAGTTATGTTAGTTTACCAGAGGGTATGTACATTTACTCGTATAGATGTATATTTGTCTAATATGTAAGTATTATAAATATCAGCCAGATGCATCAAAAGATGGAGCAACAGGAGATGATTTTCCTGGCAGAGATTGGAACTGTAAATGAGCATTGGAATATGTAATGATATGATATATACCCTCTGGTAAACTAACAGTTTGCTATAGAAAATGGCCCATAGAAATAGTTGATTTACCTATTAAAGATGGTGATTTTCCATAGCTATGTTAAATTACCAGAGGGTATATATACACACACATTGTAATCTCCAAAAAGATAGAATAGCAAATTCCCACGAACAAAAAGAGTGGTAAATCGAATTTGTTCGATCTTTTGTTGGTAACTACATATACATATTCTGGTTGGTGGTTTCAAACATTTTTTATTTTCCGTAATATATGGGATAATCCTTCCCATTGACTTTCATATTTTCAAGATGGTTAAAACCACCTACCAGTATTATGTTGATGGTGTTGATTATTCTCATTGTTCTTTTTGCTCGCGGCCACTGAGTCACTGTCTTCTCCGGGGTTGGGCTGGATTGAACCCAGCAAACAGACAGAGAATTGTACGTCGGAGATGATGTTTTTATGATGTGCTTGGCATCAGTTCCCCACTCCAACAAAGACCCTCAGCAACGTCGGCAAAGTAAAGTTTCTGGCAAGCTTTCCTTTTTGGTATTTTTGGAGTTTTTAAACTTCTCATCTTAGGTAGCAGGGAAGGAAACTGCTTGCAAGTTTTTTAGGGGATATATCCAATGTGCACAGTCCTGGCTTGGTGGTGGGTCTTATTCATGTTCCTTGCTTTCATTCCTAACACGCATCTATTTTGGATTTTCTTCTACCGTACTATGGGATGAACAGCAAAGGTATCCCTGGCTGTTGATGTGTCTCTTCATCCCTATAATCATCCTGATCACGGTAGACCCAAAAAGGCGCCATGTCGTAGGTTGGTATCTGAAGTCATGGGGATCCCCAGTCGTCACCATGGGTTAACCATCTCCTAAGTCATGGTCGTCCATGACGACTGAATGATTTTAGTTTTTTTCCCCAATGACTTGGTCGTCAGGACACTAGAAGTTGCATTGGGCCTTTGGTATATGCGAAGAAGTCTCAGAGAGGGAAAAGTTCCCATCGAGATTGGGAACGTACTCAGCAACTGGAAACCGGGAACAAAAATTCGATGACTTCACTGTGGATGGGCCAGGCGAAATCCTGCAACCACCAAAAGGATGGTTGAAACATGTTGAAACCCTATAAATAATGGGATTTTGGCCATCTATCAACTGGTGCAGGATTTCGCAACCATCCGCAGAATGTCTTCACTTTGCGACTGCTTTCTATACCCAAAAACTGGAGAATCAGCCAGTTGAGCACAGACGCGATTTCGCGGTTTTTGGGTGGCCACACTTGTGGCTAACCTGTTACTGTTTGGTGGTGTTCATGGTGAAGGATCTGTATAGATCTGTCATAGACAGGCCATCCTGCATCGGTAACTATTGGATTCCCTATGAAACACTATAAATGATGGGATTACAATATATTATAATGGGATTTTGGTCATCAGCTGGTGCATGATTCCGTCCATCCATAGTATCTCTATGATGCCCATGACTGGGTGAATTTCGCATGGATAGTATTGGATAGTTGGATAGTTTAGTAAGTTTAGTACCTGGGTCAAGCCATTCTGTGCGGGATGGCCATGGCCCAATTCCAATGCCATAAACCTAGTACCATTTCGGGATGGTTTATGTACATTTTTTTGCGCGAGTGTTTGGTATTGGGTTGCCATGTATATAACATATGCTTTTAAACTATGGTATTTTTGATGTACCATTTACTGTGAGTGTTTGTATGGTATGATAAACGTGGCTTTACCGTACATGAAATGTACGGGATGGATTCGCATCTGGATTATAGGTTTATGATGAACTGGGATCCCCGGCTTGATACATGTAAAAAAATCACTGGGATTAAACTATCAATCCATAGGCTCTTTTCGGGATCAAGTTGATCATAGGATAATGTGTTTTTTTGTGGGTTAACAATGTCATAAACCAGCCGTGACTGGGAATGGTTTATCATACCACCTTTATATTTATGGTGATGATTTGGGGGATTTACCCACATAAATGATGGGATTTACAGGGATTCTAACCCAAATTATCACCATTCATCATTTATAGATATCCCTATAAATCCCATCAGTTATAGTGGGATAAATGGGATTTATAGGGATTTATCCTACATTTACCCACAGTATCCCTATTGTGGCATTGTTTGGCAGCCACTTTCATATTTTTTTTTTCGGAGGCCATAAAATTTCCCCGTTGGCATGGATTAAAATGAATTTCATGTTTTTTTTAATGGGAAAACATGGGAATATCATGGGATTTGATGGGATTTGATGGGATTTAAATGGATTTAATACTGATTTAATGGGTTTAGTGATGTTTAGTGCTTCAACATCTTCAACGCCCCGTTACCTTTTTTTAAGGTAACTATTGGCCAAAGGACGACTACCTTCAAGCCACGAGCGCTGACAGCTCCGCGATGCTTCGCTACTTGCCGTGGCACTTGGCAGATTTGGAGTACGGACAGGACGCCACAACGTGACTGCGCTTAAGGATGGTCGTGGGTGGCGGACGCCAGTTGGAATAAATTAGAAAAAGTAATCCCCAAGAAGATAGGACACAAATCATTGAAAGTCACTTTAAGTATGGGATTACTATTAAAGTACTTAATGCATTTAATCACTATTCCTAGGCATATTTACTTGTCGATCTTTTCGGAGATTGCGAAAGAGAGTAAGTAGGAATAGTCCAGGTATTGGGGTGAACTAGTAGTAGCTGAGATGAACCACCACAACTGGTGAAACATGTGAACCAGCAAAACTCGATTCATGTTTTCGTGCTGCTTTACCATATGTTTTCCTATCCCTCACTTGGAAAGAATCTCTTCCTATGACGGCATTTTTTGCCCCCCCTCCGGTAGAATTTAGGGCAACACTTCTTCCTGGTGAAAAGTGAATCTCCATTGTTGATTTCAGTATGCACATTTTTGGCCAGTGGAAACATGAGGTTAATTCCAGTAATCCCGTTAAACCACCATAAAATCCCATTAAACCACCATAAAATTCGTTAGAACGTGTTAAGCCCATTTTGCTGATGACCTCACCATTTTGTGGCTGGTTCTCCGCATGGAAATTTTCGGCTGGTTGTAAACATCCACAAAAACATCACAGTTGGTGGGTCCCTCCAACTATAAATTGGTTTATAAACCCTTCCAATTCTTAGGCTAGTTATAAACCAACATGTATAGCCCTTATAAAATCTAAATCCCAATTTTTGCTTGGTTGAATCCTATTCTTGCTGGTGATGTTTTTTTGGGGGGTCTTTGTCTAGGGGTCACCACACAGCCGCAGCTTTGAATCACAATTTTTGAAGGTTAAACCATCATTATATCATTTTTGTTGGTTAAATCATCATTTTTGCCAATATTTTTCATTTCTGCTGGTTAAATCACAATTTTTGCTAGTTGTCCCCCATCTTTTGCTGGTTAAATCATCATTTCTGTTGGTTTTCCATCACCATCTGTTGGTTCTCCCCAGGTTATCCTTCCAAGATTCTTCGGTCTTGAGCATCTCTACGGTCGAACACGTGGGCCACGACAACGAGGGCCTGGGTGGATCCTTGAACGGCTTCCGCAGCGACGGCTCGTTACAGAGCCTCGAGGAGCGACGAAAAACCCAGGGGAAAGTCATGGAGATGTGGAAACCCTTGTGATTTCATGGGATTTAACCAACAAAAATGGTGATTTAATGGGATTTAACTATGAAAAATGGTGGTTTAATGGGATTTAACTATGAAAAATGGTGATTTCATGGGATTTAACCAACAAAAATGGTGATTTCATGGGCTTTAACTATGAGAAATTGTGATTTCATGGGATTTAACTATGAGAAATTGTGATTTAATGGGATTTAACTATGAAAGATTGTGATTTAATGGGATTTAACTATGAAAAATGGTGATTTAATGGGATTTAACTATGAAAATGGTGATTTAATGGGATTTAACTATGAAAAATGGTGATTTCATGGGATTTAACTATGAAAAATTGTGGTTCAATGGGACTTAACCAAGAAAAATGGTGATTTGTTCATGGGATTTTTATATGTAATGTGGGATTTTAATGGGATTTTTATAATGAAATGGCTGGTTGGTGGTTTGGAACATGGCTGTTATTTTCCCCAATAGCTGGGATGATGATCCAGTCTGACTAAATTTTTCCAATATACTAATGATAAACTAGTGAATACTATAGATGATATAGGCCATTTTACATTAGTAAAGACTATACGTATGTCATGGCCATTTACTACTGATAAACTGTAAATTGCTATAAATGTTCACTTAGATGTGGAAAATCAACGGCCCGAGTCATACCAGTTATTTGTGTACTGAACTAACCCCATAAAAATGGTTTATGTGGTTGATCCCCTAGAAATAACAAGTTATTTCACCATTTATCTCATTGGTAAACCTACGGCCATAACTGGCAAATTTTGTCTACTTAAGTGGTTGATTTTCCACATGTGAACGTTTACCCCTTGGGTAATCTCACAAAAAAACTGGGATATTCTGGGATGGAATATTTTAAGCTGGCTGTGGTGATTTATGAATTCTCCATGGCTTTAACCACTAAATATGCCACGAATTGAATGGGATTTAAGCCATTAATGGCCATTTGGAGCTTGCGTTTCTTAGTCGTGGGGTAGCCCCAAATCATCCGAGTCATGGATGACCAGGATGACCATGGCTTGAAAGAAACCTGGTTTTAGCAAATGGGATCCCCATGACTTAAGAAATCAAAAACATTGAGGATTTCAGCAAAAGAACATGAAGTTTTAACCAATAAATATGGATCAATATGGAATACTGTGGATGGTTGCGAAATCCTGCACCAGCTGGTAGATGGTAAACATCCCATTATAATCCCATCATTTATAGTGTTTTATAGGGAATCCAATTGTTACCAACTGGTGCAGGATGGCCTGTCCATCCACAGTTTGATGGGATTTCACCCACAAACATTGGTATTTTCAGTATCGAGGCCAGGTCAAAGTCGGTTCGTGCTGATTTCATGAGATTTACCCTCTGGTAAATGTGTACAAAAAACCATGGAACATCACCATTTTCAGTGGTGGTAAACTGTTACATAACTATGGAAAATCACCATGCCGAAAAATGGGTAAATCAACTACATTTCACTATGGCCATGGCAGTTGGCAAAGTGTAACAGTCACTAGCAGGTATATCATATATCCCATCTAGAAATCACCATATTTCTGTTGTTTTTTTTTATCCCATTAAACCATCATTAAACCATCATTAAACCATCATTAAACCACCATGAAACCACCATGAAACCACCATGAAACCACCATTTTTCATCCCATGAAACCAGCATTTTTGAAGCCCATGGCTTCTTGGTGGTTCATCCCAGTGGATTCCATGGATGAACAGCCGTGACTTATCCCACTTGTGCTACTTAGAACTAGGTTTATTTCATGGAAAATCCGAAGAATGGATAATTATTGGGGGTAGTTTATAGTTTTTTTTGAGAATCCCCCCCATTTTTTGGTATTTAATATGAGTATGTAGTTTGATATATATATATATATATATGTTGATCGGAACAATTGTGGATGGTTTGTTTGAAGATTGGATGCAACCCGAAACAGCAATTAACTGTCAAATTTTGGGGTACCACCCTATTTGCAGACAAACCCAAATGTTTGGATTTAATCATGAAATACGTTTGATTTGGATTAAATCGGAATATATTGCAGATATAACCTTCAAAAAGCAACAATACAAGGATTTCATATTTTGGGATTCACCGACAAAAAACAAAAAAACAACACACATTGGGTCAGCGAAGGGGCACCAGTTGACTCAACAGAAATGCCATGGCATCCGTCCTCCACTCTGTTAATCCTTCATTGGAGGGGCTGCATGGTCATTTTCACCAATTCCATTCATATTCATATTCCAATGATTCGACATTTTCATGTACATCAATGATATCAATGCATGTGATAAAGGACTTTTTTGTTTTGTTTTTTGACTTGTCAGCCAACTTGGTTGTCATAAACGGGGGCCAAAAAGCCTTGCTTTTTGGGAGATTGGTTTGGAGTATATCAACCATATCAACCTATACTCAATGGAACATCCCCCATGCATGGCATTCATGATTCTCCCGGCTATAAACCTCCATTTGCTGCGGGCATTTCTCAGCACGCCATGTTTGATGACACTGGAGGTTAATCCTCCAGTAACCCAAGGGAGGGTGTTCAATGGTTCTTCCGTTCGTTGCAGAATGCCACCATTAAATGCCACCATTTTTGCTGCTTCAGTCACTGTGTGACTGATGACTAAACCTGAGATTTCCCATTCAAATCTCCATCGATAGGGATTTTTCATAGCTATAACCCTGTCCAAAAAGTAATATGCTTGGTTTATGAAGCCTAGTAACGTCTAGTAAGCATACCTTGAAATATGTTATAAGATGCTATAATATACACATCCACCAGTCCTTAGCGTTTCGAAGTATGATTGCTAGATGTCGAAGTATGGTGACATATACCGTACTTCAGGCTTACAAACATAGTTTGAGATAACAGCCGGAAATTGATTCGAAACCTAGTAACACTAGCAATCATACTTCCAAATATGTTTTCTAAGTCCCATACACATGCATTTAGTAATCTATACAATCATAGTAATATGTCCAATAATCATAGTAATATCAGTCCGATAATCATAGTAATCATAGTAATCATATCAAATATTGGACTTCAATAATAGTAATCATACACATCCATACTTAAAGTATGTTATCTCCACCAGTCCTTGGCATTTTTGACCGCCAGGACTGGGTGCGATCCTGGAACCAGGCCCCAGAACTGCTGCAGCGGATCGCGGCTTTGGCCCAGAGTTTTCTGGTGACTTTTCCCATCGGCCTGAACGTGGCATGGCGGAACAATTGGGAAATGGACATGGGAAAAAAACATGGAGGGAATATAAATATATATATACAATATATATATATACAATATAGATATATATATACAATATATATATACACTATATATATATACACAATATATATATACACTATATATATACAATATATATATATACAATATATATATATACAATATATATATATATACAATATATATATACACTATATATATACACTGTCAAAGGGAACTAGGCGCTAGATCATGTGTCACATGCATGTATCAGTGTATCTCAAACGCCCTTTGTGGCTCAAGCGCCCCTTGAAGGAAAAGAATCGTGCCGTCGCTGCTGCGCCATAACGGGACTCGGTTGACCAGCGAAGCAGGTATTGGAACTACAATTGGTAACACCTAGAACAAGGGTAAAATTGTTCACAGGTTATCAGCCGTAAGGGCTCACTTCTCCCGTCGGGAGAGGAGTACCTGCGTGCTGGTAGCCGGGCCTTCTGAGCAATTGATTGTGGACGCAAAGGACCAATCAGCTCATCATCGCAAAGATGCAAGGCGGCAGCGGAGATTCGCGCACCACGCAGTTTACCTTCAATGAGAACACTGCTATGCCGGTCGAGGAGGTCAATCAATCTTCCCCTGGCGACACGGCAGACAGTGGTGGGATACGCTCTACCCGAACTACACAGTCCGGATGGCAAGTTACATCAAACAGACGAAGAACATCCACCCAAAGTACACCAAGATCTTCTCGAAACAGTGCTCGAAGTGATGTTGTCCGCCAAGGGCATCGACCATCTCGAGGACGAACTACCCCAAGGGACAGATCCACCAGGGCCGTAACCGACCGAATTGGTGAGAGGACCGGGGATAGTCGTGTTAAGAGGAGATCAACGGATACTTCTGTGGCTAGTGAACCTATTGCCATGATAGAAGAACTACGGGCACAATGTCAATCCCTACGTAATCAGTTGAACCACATGGAAGCATATGCTGCATCAAGAGATCAACTGATTCATGACATCGAGATCAGGTTCACTGAGTATCTTCAGGAACACAACCAGAATGTATTTGATGAGGTCAATGCACTCAATCATAGATTGTCATGTTCCGCAAATGAGGTTGCAGAATGTCAAGCAGAACTAATGGTAGCATCTCAGGAAGACGAAGGTGCAACAATACGCATCCAAGACCTCGAACGCCGAGGTGCCCTGATGGAACATGGTGCAAGACGGATCCATCAACGTGGTATGGAGATCCAGGAAGAGTACAAGGATGAAGTACATCACCTTCAAGGACTATTGGGTAATACGGAGGCAAGACTGCAACAACTTCACCAAACCAATGTCTTAACCACCGATATTGCCAATCGATTATACAATGAAGGTCAAGAAATGCAGACAGATTTCCAGAACTCAATCATGGAATATCGTAATCGATCCGAAATGGCATCCTTCTCCAGCAATCAACTTGAAGTGATTAGCCAACAACAATCAATTACAGTTCATGAATTGTCTGAACGGAATCAGCTATTGAGTGAAGCTCTAGTTCAGTCTCGTAAACAGGCCGAGTTGTATGAAAGCAGTATCGAAGAGATCACTAGAGAATCTAGAAAGAAGGTTTTCGAGGCAAATCAGGCCAAATTGGAAAGTGATCTGAAGCATCGAAATACTGAACATGATACTGTCAGAAGAATTGCATCATACAGGAACCATGAGGCCGAAGCGATATCACACCTGAGGCTTGAATCACAGGCTAGTGAAAATTCGATCGCAAGGGCAGAGCACTATGAAGAGCTCTACACCAATGAGCAGGAGATGAACTGCGAATTAAAGGATGAGATCAAGTTGCAGAACATGAAGTTGCGAAGATCGTTGACTCAGGGCACTACGACCGACGGTCGTGGCCCCGATGAGATGCTTGTTGAAGATCTACGTAATCAAGCCAAAATCTCTCAAATCAGGGTTCAGGATCTAGATCATGAGGTTCATGAATGTTTACAAGAGAACATGTTGTTAAAGGAAAGATTGGCTGAAGTTGCGGATGTAGGGGCGTCGTCCTTCTCCAACGCTGAGGTCCGAACTTTAAGATCTGAACTAGAAAGTGAGCGCAAGATGAAATTGGCTAGTGGTGTTCAACAGTATGAGAGATCATGCATGTTCATGGGGGAAATTCAAGATAGGGATGAAAAGATTGGTATCAAGAATTCTGAGATCATTGACATGAAACGTCACTTAGATGAACTGAGAAAGAGTATCTATGTCAAGGGTCAGTCCTGATACACTTCCCTATTCGGCAGGTATCCCCAACTATGATCTCGCATCAAGACTGGTCATTGACAAACTCGAGAATGAGGTGAGTGAGGCTAACTCTGAGAGCGCGATCCTAAAGTCTTGGGTATCGCAGATCGACAAGGAGTTGACTCACGAGATGAATGTCGCTCAATCCTATCGCGGACGTGCTGGACCTTCTCAACAGCAATCTTCACAATCGAGCAAAAGAATTACCGATCTGCTGAAAGAGGTTGACAATAAGATCGCCGATGGAACTGAGAAGGACTATTACAAGCCTCCGAATGGATGGGGTGGTCCGCCTGACCCTGACGGACCTCCTGACCCTTTCGGGCCCAACGGTCCAGGACCACCTTCAGAACCTCCTGGGTTACCTTCAGTTCGAGGATCACAACGTGATTCAGCAGACGACATCTCCACGGCAGCGTACACGGCGGAAGAAGTACCAAGAATGTCAAGACGGGAGGCTGACAAAGTCTATGTTAGCCCATGGCCGAAGCAACAGAACCTTGGGGTTTGGCAATCAGATCTCACCAAGAGTGTTGTTCTTGCTGCGAATGATGGAGACAAAGCTGCGTGGGAAGCATGGTTACAGCCGGCTATTCGACCAAATCCTGACATTGAGCTATTGAATGACAGTGGAGGGCAACGATATCAGTCAATCGACGCCAAGTTGTCAATTGCATTATCAAACGTCATAGCCCAAGCCGGTGATGTCGCTCGTCACGTAGCAATTAAATTGAGATTGAGAACACAGAGTCATAGCCGAAGGGGAACCTATGTTATGGGACGAGAAATCTTGGCTATGATCCTGGAACACTTCAGAACCCCAGGTCAACGAGAGACAGCCTTCACCATGGAGCACATCGTATCGATGAAATATCTCGGTGACTCAAACCTGGAAGTGTTCTATGAGAAATGGATGGAGATGGTATCAAACATGATGCCGGATGATGTACCTCCTGATGATTGGCTTCGTGATGCTCTATACAAGAAGATTCGAAATTCGAGTCTTATGATGTTTGACATCAAGCAGTACGAGTCATGGATTGAAGGAGACCAAAGACGAAGCTATCGCTACCTGTTGGACGTCATCGAAAGGCACATCTCCAGAATTAGAGAAGACAAGCATGTGGCCGCTAGGGAGAAGTACGCAAGAGACTTCGCAGGCGGCGGCAAGCCTACTGCTCCTGCCCCGAATCCAACTGCTGCTGCACCAGACGCCAATCCGAAAGCGAAGCCTAAAGCCACTCCCAAGGAGAAGGCAGCACCTAAGGCGAAGGCCAAGGCCGATGCAGCTCCAGTTCTACCATCACCTCAACCGAAACAGCATGCAAAAGGAAAAGGGAAAGGTCAAGGGAAAGGAAAGGATCGACCAAACAGCCGAAGTGCTAGTCCTAGGTCCAAGAAGAAGATCCCATGCCACTTCCACTTCATCAAGAAAGCATGCAGAAAAGGCAAAGATTGTGAATACAGTCACGACCAAAAGGTGTTTGATGCGAACAAGAACGCAAAAGGTAATGGTCGAAAGCCAGGAACTCCAAGAAGTCAATCTCCAGCGAACAAGACCAAGAAGGTTGATGAACCATGCTGGCACTGGGCTAAGGGCAAGTGCCGATATGGAGACAAATGCAACAAACGCCATGATCCTCATCTATTCAACACTGCTCCAAACACCGAAGCATCAGGCTCAAAGGCTACTCCTGCACTTGTCCATGAATGGAGTGATGACGAAGGGACATTCCACAAGGTTGCATCGAACGTCATCAAGAAGAAGGTCAGATTCGATGAGTCTAAGACTTACGTCCAAACGTACGTGAAGAAGGACTTCGTGAAGTGCAGCCGGAAGTCCCAAACCATCTCCAAAGGTCATGGTAAGGTTGGTAAGCCCACCGATCAGATAAGGCAAGATGAGCAATGGTCTTATTCATGCAGATTAGCATCGAGCCGAGGGAAAGCAATGGCTATTCTGATCGATGAGAAGGGTGAGTACAGTGACATTGATGAAGTCCTGGTCATCGTCGGCCCCAGCCTGGACATTCTGATCAGACTCGACATCGAGGACGGTGAGGTGTCTCGGGAAGTCTTTGTGGAGAACTATGTTCAGCACATTGAGGGTCGATATGGTAAAAGGGGCAACACAATGTGTATCACTGTTCCTGTTGAGGAAAGAGATAAGAGATTCATATTGGATTCTGGAAGTGGTCATGATCTCATATCGTCTACACGAATAAGTGGAATGGATCTCCCAACATATGATGACAAAGTCGTCAACTTCCATACAGCAAATGGGGTAACATGTTCGACCAAACGTTCAAGTATCAAGTTCGAGGCATTCAACGAACCAGCAGAAGCTCATATCCTGGGAGACACGCCTTCTGTGATCTCCATGGGCAAGCGGTGCGTTGACCTTGGATACTCATTCGTATGGCCGACTGGAAGAACTCCTTTCATGTTAGATCCCAATGGCAACATCATCGAAATGACTGTCAAAGACTACATTCCCTATGTGAGCGTCGATCAAGAGAAGAGAAAGTTAAAATCATCCTGTGTGGAAAAGATCATGGCAGTTCTTGATGATGGATGCTCAACGTCGGAAGGTGAAGGTCTTTTGGTCATTGATGGAGAAAGTGGAGATGAGCTTGAGGATCTTTCCGACTCCGTTGGACGATCCGATGTTAAATCCACCAAGAGATCAATGAAGAAACGTAAGAAAGCAAAATTGAGGAGTGATCAACATGAAGTGGCGGTTGGAAGTGATGCAGGTGATGCTGAGGAAATGTCGTGCTATGCCGATGAGTATGCCGAGTTTGAGGACGACGGGTACGATCCCAGCATTGCACCTGATGATATCCACGAAGATCATCAAATTGAAGTTGAAGAAATTCCTGAAGATGAAGGAGGTGAAGATGACGATGATGTCATTGATGTTGATGAGGAAGATGGAGGAGTTCGACTGAG